TGAATTTTTCTGTGATGAGATAGTCTTAATCCTATATCGCAATTTCTCAACTTGTTTCTCAGATTCTACTAACCGCTTTTCTAAACTAGAAATATGTTTTCCCTTATCTCGCACATCTTTTCTAGCTTGATATAGCTGACTTTTTAGGGTAGAAATTTTAGATTTTAACTCTACTATCTCTTCTTTCGAAGAATTTTCAAGGCGCTTTATCTCCCTATTAAGATTTTAAATTTCTTGCTCACATCGGAAATAATCTCACTTCAGTTGATTAATTTGTCTCTCATTCTGATGATTAGTATCAACTTCTGTCTGCAATTCACTATGAATATGATAGTTCTTCTCCTTCAACTCAGCTTTATATTCTTCACATGTTCTTCTCTGCCTTGGATGAGGCCTTCGAAATGCCATTCTTTTTTGTGATTATAAAAGAGAAATGGAATGAGTTAACTGCATATTGTGATAGATTCTGATGAGGCTCAGAGAATCGAAAAAAAAAATGATATTGAATCTTGATCATAGACTATGCGAATGCGCAGGTCGAAATATATATTTTTTCCAGGTTTCTAGATCATGTTCAGATTTACTACGCCTCTTCGCCCATAATTTTCTTTCATGAGTGCTAGAATATATTTCTGGTTCTATAGTCACATCACTATGTTTCATTTTGGAAATGATCTGATCAACAAGAGTAATAATTTTCCTATCCTTAGTAAAAATAATATCCTCCAGATGCCAACATTTATTCTCTAACAGATCAATGGACTTTTCAGCTGATGCAATAGCTTTTCTCGTATCAGGAATTATACTTTTGAAGAAAACTACTGAATCTGATAATTAGGTGACTTTCCCACTACTTTCCTCTAAAGACCTAATCATAGCTGCCTCACAAGACTTATACTGCTCTTGCAAATTGAGAAGCTCTTTAATCTTTTTTTCCAATACCTATTTTGATATACATAACTCCTCATTTTCTCGTCTTAACGAAGTTTCACAATCGCTAGTAATAGGCTCAGTCCCCTTCATCTTCTGATGCTCCTTTTTTTTAATATAATTTTCAACTGCTTTATTTAACAAATCTTCCACTTCAGGGTGAATACTACTTGCCTGTTCTAGCAATAACAGATATTTTCAAGTTATAAGACGTCGCCATATATCTATTTTGATAGATTAAGAAAGCTGGTTAAGTTGCTTTGAATAATATATGTGGAAAGATGGTGTTAATATGCCAGTCATTTCTTATAGATAATAAAAAAATTCTGAGAATTTAAGAATTCTACGCATTCAGAAAATTCAAAGAATTCTGAGAAATTTACGTGCCCAATATCACAGATTGCATCACATCAGATAAGGATCTGCTAGAAAACGATTGGCAAAAAATTCACGTGATTTTGGCAAGGATGTCTAGCTGAAATTTGCCAAGAATACATGATTACGTCTTTCGTGATACAGATAATAAATTTTTAACCATTTCATTTTGCAATTGCTTATCTTCCAATTTTGCAATTTTGGCCTTAAGTTCAGCATTCCTGGCTTCAATCTCAGCAAACTTCTTTATAAGTTCAGTATTCTCAGCCTCAAACTTGGCAATGTATTGTCTTAATGAATTGGTCATATCTATTTCAGATTGCATGCTTGCATAATGTAGTATTAGTGTGTTAATATTCAAAAATAAAAATAAAAATCATGTGATTTTTCTGACCCGAGGTCAGTGAAATTTGCCAAGAAAAGTTTTATTATCTAGTACATATCTCACACGAAAAAAAATATAGATGAATATGAATGTATGCTTGTGAAATCGACCACCAGGGTTACTTTTATTGATATAAAAATACATAGGCTTTATATACTAAATTACATGATATGGTAATATAACCTGATACTTCTCTTTCCTAATTATTATATGGTGCTATAGAGACAGTGAGACTTGGGTTAACATTTCAGGGCGGATGAGAGGTGGCTTGTTCTAATGCCTGCATTAGTAGACTCTTATTCACGATTATAATATTTCTCAAAGTTAAAAGTACACATATGAGAGACTTGACTCGCGATGTATTATTACTTAACGATAGGAGGATTTTTGTATGATCCAGGTGAAAGTATTAAGGAATGCCAGCTAGATCCTTTACAAGAACATTCACATATATAGTTGTACCTGCAATCTGAATTCCTACAATACCAAATTGATTTCCAGTTGGTCTACATAACGCACTTACAAAACTTACACTATTCAATGTTTCCCTCCATAATTTTACATCATCATCCGCTTTTTTTGATTTGCTACATATGATACGTGATGATTCAGTATACATTAGCTCAATAATCTTTTCATCTTGTTTTAACAAGCTCATAACATCAGGTTTATTCCCCATTCTCTCTTCATTTATTCTAAGATTTCATCGAGTTTTGCTTGCTAAACTTTGGCGTTCTGCCGTACTCAAGCAGATACTGCCATTAGGAAGCCTACTTAAACTTGCTTGAAGTAAAGGAATTATGATATCTGCAACATATGTCCCTTCACTCTACTCACTACGGGATGTGCTAGTCATAAATGCAGGATTAATCCATATTTCACCACTAAAAAAGTATATTAGCTATTATTTCATAAATATTTTTATAGATAATTTAGCGAAATACTTACAGTGTACCTAAAATACGTTCCACTACTTTTACTAGTTCAGTTTCACTTTCTTTCCATCTTTTATCATGAAATTTATTCCTCATAATTCTAGATACGCTGGAATTATTGAAATCTTTTACAAATCTATCACACTTAACCACAACTGAATCAGGGAGTTCACACTTCATATTTTCACATGGTTCTATGAAGATATTTTTCTGTCTATGTCCCAAATTTTTTACAATATCAGAGTCATCACTCAGAACCATGCTTACTTCAGAATCTTTCCATATGAGGTATGAAGAGGTAATATTTGCCAAATTTTGTTTGAGAGAGCCATAAAGATTTACATCCGCCTCTGATAAAGGATGCTAAGTATATAGTTAGTGACTAATTTAACTAAACAAAAAAAAACATTGAACTTCTGATAATTACTTCAAGCTTATACTTCAACTTGGAAAGATTTTCTTTTATTTCTTCCTGAATACGATCTAGAGGTGCTTCTTTTTTCATATTTAATGCCTTTAATGCTTTCAACCCACAAATATTAATATATCTACTCTCCATTTACAGTAGATGCAATAAAAAAGTACTGGTACATTAGCCTAACCTAAATTCATGAATTATATACAATCTCCACACATGTATTCTCAGATGTGTTTTAGATAACATTGTTTTGGTTGAATAGTTATGCACAGTCAAAGAGGAGCAGAAACTCTCAACATCTAGAGGACATCGCTCTTTCAGGCTGGCACTTCTCGACCTTCAGCTATGACATACCAAAACTAAAAACCACATCTACTATAGGCTCATTATTAAAGACGTAGATAAATAATAAAAATCTGATTTGCATCATACCTGCGGTAATATTTCTAACACCTTAGTTCTTCGCTCAAGATCTATTAGCTTCGCTAATGATGAAGTGACTACTCGGTCAACTATTTCTCATACATCATTATATGGAGGAAGAGTATTATCCTCTATTGTCAAATAAATAACAGACACTTCACAAAGAGTATCTAATGATTCTTGTAATAAAAGAGCTTCAACCTTGGCTACTAAATTTGATATAGTGAAAAATTATTAATAAAAATGTATTGATATAATGTGAAGTTTTCAATGACTTAAACATAAATTTTTCATACCGCTTTTTTAAATGCCACCATTTCTCACATTCTCATTTTTTTCATGTTGGGGAGAGATAGAGAAATATGCAAGACACTTTACGCTAAAATTTTGTGTTCAATAATAAGGGCATGCGGAATATGCATTGAAAATCTCGATATTTAGAATAGTGTTAGGAATAATGCATATACCTTTTTTTTTGCTCGACTGCACAAAGACCTGATACGTATATAGATATTATTCTACTCAGAATATAATAGAAATATCCCATCCCTTCAGAGAAAACATACATATCAGTAAATGCTATTCTACTAAATATTATTCGGCCAAATGTTGTAAAGAAAAAAATTCAAAATATTTTTGGGAATCGATTTCTTATGTGTGAAAATTAATTTGTCATACAAATAGTCATATAGAGTTACAGATGATTTGTGAAGTATCACCTATTACATCATATACACTTTAACAAGGATCAAAAACGTGCTAATTTATGTTGTACATGCTAACAAGCATTGTGATTAGACAATATATTATTTTATTAAGATAATATTCAGGATTTGGGTCAAGGACTGATCTGGAAAATTTGACGCACAAATTCACAATTACATCCAAATCTGAGAAATTCACAATAACATCCTTTTCATGAATATAGTATAGGAATTCTAATGGCAAGAATCGGCATATTCTTTGTATTTTTGTCAATTTACCTCTATATTTCTCGCAATCTGAAATTCTGATGATGTTTTCAAAGTTATATTTTTTATTAATATGATAATATTTGGGATTCTGTAACCATTTTAACATATCAGACCAGCCTGTATTTCTAATAACTATATAGCCTTGCTGATATAATACTCTAAAAGTAGCTATGTATGCTATAGTACATAATCATCTATATAACTGATTTTTCTTTGCTTCTACTCAAGTATCAGCAAAATAAATGTTATGCTTATTTTCTACATAAAATCAGTCACTCACATAATTAGATTCTATTAGTTTTCCATTAATGAAATGATATGTTTTACTACGAGGAATAATATCTAAAAACTTTTTATCGTCAAGAGTACCATCATTCCTCACTGTCTCCCAAACCTGTTTTGCCAAAGACTCAGGTCTTTTTTTATAATTCTTGTAAGCTCACTGGAAATCAGGTTTTTCTTCATATATATGAAGTATTTCATGCATAGCGTCTTTGACCAATTATACTAGGTGATCATGCATGCAAATTATATAGCTATTCATTACATAAAAAAAATAAAATATAATATATGATATTAATTTTCAGCTAAAAGCAATAGTCAGAATCAGTTAGTTAAACTACTGTGATTTCTGTCCTATCCCCTAATCTCAATACAGTGTCTTTTGGCTGTTTTACATGTAAAGACGATATAAATAATTTGCCTGTATCACTTCTACAATTCGATGATTAATAAGAAGTTAGTGAAATCATTTCTTGCCCGAAAGGTAGAATATAAGCTGGCTTAAAATTTGAAACACTTGGCATAGTATTTTCTGCTATAGTTGTGGTCTCGACCTTGAAGCAAGAGTAATTCCAATGATTTTTCATCAAATCTTCAGACTCAACTTTATAGGCCCATCTTCCCCAGCCACTGTAATATTCCTTTCTAGGCTCTACTTCAGTAATCTTCACCAATTTCCAGCATTTAAAGCAAATAGCCATCTGACTTTTATGGACATTAGGTTTACAATATTCAAAGGGGATACTATATAAATCATCATTAACATAGTATGTTGTGGATTTTACTTTTCTAAAGGAAGCGAAGAGACAGTACACATGATATAAACTATATTCTTGCTTAAAAAGTAGTTCTTACAGAGAATCTCTTACACGATTAGCTCATTGTTAAGGAGTTTCATGAGGTTTAATAATAAATAAATAATCATATTGTTTTTCTATTTCAACTACTTTTTCATATTGATAGTTATCAGTTTGAGGTTGACAGTTAAAAACATGTTTCATATCATATTCAGGACGGAGATTGATAGGTTTAGGTACAATTTTATTATAAACCCTATCTATAATGATTTTAACTATATCATTAGGTATAGTTACACTAGTATAACTAATTATTAGAAAATTAGAGATTTATAGCAATTTCAGAGTTTTATAGTATTTTTAACGAATTCTGGTAATTCTTTAACAACTTATACTAGATAATATCACCATTCAAATTTATATGAATTTACTGATTAACGATTAATTAGTTTATAGCCTATTTGTGCGACTACATACTAGTAAATCCAAAATTCATTTTTTTATTCGATTACGAGCATATCGAGATTTATATAGGGTCATATCTAGCCGACTATGCTAATTTTATATTTACATGCATATGCATAGCGCCTTCAGCTAAATTGGTTTGTACTGTATATCGTATCATATGAGATCTTTCTAAATCCCTGCCAGTTCCACAACAGTTCCTCGATAGTTCTAGGAGAGTTCCAGAAGCTGGCGAGTTTCTATAAATCATAAGATGATCGGCTAATTATATTCTGGAAAAATTAGACGACAGAGGTATAGTAATCATGGCGCAGTACCAAGGAATCCCGGACATGCATATCCACTAATTATGTGGTGTTAGTATCAATCGAATATTTTTAGACATGCATGTCCGCTAATTAGGTAGTAGCAGTGTCAGTCAAATATTTTTAGACATGCATATCCGCTAATTATGTGATGTTAGTATCGATTAAAAATCATTTCAAGCTAATCATGTATCAATTAAAAAAATAAATAATTAATATATGTTTTCAGAATACTATTTTTTTATACTATAACAGATATTGTCAGACATGCAAGTCACAGGTGATGTAATATGTGACATAATATACTGCCGAAGGTGTTCAGAGTAAACTATTTCTGAAGCACTTTAACAATTACGTATTTAATGTCTTCCTTAGACAAGGCCATTATAGTTGATAATAAAAAAGTTTTAATTCTTCCTATCATAGCTCTACCTATATTTACATCTATATTGATGCTATCTTACCTTTTCGTACATATGTTCAAAGCTAGAGAAAAAAATGCAAAAAAATGCCAAGACTTTGATCGTTACCAATGGTAACGGTTTCTGCTAAGAAAAATTTCACTTATGGATTAACTATGTTATCTGATCATGAATAGTTCGTCAAAAAAAAAATATCAATCAAAAAATAGAAATATAAGTATTTTTCTGATGCACGAAAATGTGTACATGTGAATCAACCAGAGTCATTTTATTAATACAGAATACAAATGATTTAGCGTAGCCATAAAATTTTTGTTTTACAATTCCACTAGAGAGTGAATCCCGAGAAAACATATGCAGAATTGTGCATCAATATAGGGATGATCCAAAAAAAGCATTCAAGATCATTGATAAGTGATCTTTAATTTTACTAAAGCAACTGATCAATTAAATTAGAATGAGATATGCCCTTAAAGTTGGATTGCTAAAAAGTTAGATTCATTGATCAAATAGCACGATAATATAAATAAATCACACATTCAGAATCTTGCTTATGTATTATTTATACTATAAGACTATTTGTGTAATGTAACTTTAATTATACAATATTCAGAATAATTTTCGTGATATAGTATATACATTTTAGTGTCAAAAAATCAAAAATCGTAAATATATTCTGATATATATACATCCACACCACATCACCCGCATTCACGCACGTATTCTAAAATAAAATGGACTATAAATCCTGATGAACTTTATTATGATAATTACAGACAATGGATTAAACTCACGTCTTGCGATATAAAAACAATTGATACTATCTAGATATTTCCTTAAAAACTGGAACTATATTAATGGTAATTCAGACTCAGAAGATCCAGGACATGGCGATGATGGATACGAATTCTGGACTTTTTCTTCTGCGCATATTTTAGCCTTCTTAAGTGTTGTTAAGCATGAAGGTATTTGGAATTCACCCTCGTTTAATGGTCGCTTTCGAATCCCAGCTTCTTTAAATGATTTTATGGTTTGTTTTTTTGTATGTACCGCCTTCATCGTCTCTCAAACCACAGCCTAAATTTATGAATATATCAGTTTATATTAGCACTTATATTGCATAATTACTAAAAGAAAAGCATGAGTCTAACCTTTATATTTAAAACCAATGCTAAAATATCCAAAATGTCAGGAAATTCTTTTGCATTGCTTGGAACTTCCATTAGTTCACTACGTCAGATCCTATAGATGTATCCCTTTGGGTTGTCTAGGTATACCATCATAATCATCAAACCTATTAATTAAAGATATTAGTTTGACAGATTGATTTTTTTGCTGAAGTAGGAAGATCATACATACCAGCGTGGATTGCTCTAACTGTTTGAATTTTTGCACACTTCTCTTTATCCCAATATGCTCTTGCCATCAATTTTACCAGCATGTCTTTGAGGGTTTTGGGTAGCTTTAACCCTGCCTCTTTGAGAAATTTCGTTCTGTGTTCATCCACCTAACTTTTCCCGGCTTTCCCAGCTCTGAACTCATCTTTCTTACCATTATTGACAAACCTTAAGATTCAGTCACCTCTGCGACCCATTTTCCACCATTTTCCTGATTGTCTTTTCACATTTTTTCATGTTTCTGATGCCAAGCTTATGCTTTCCCCTCTAGATTGTTAGAAAAGGAATCTTGTCAGATACATTAAGCAAGTTACATTTTTAAAGAAAAATTACCTGATGACGGTTATCACATCCATATCACCAAAGGCTTGATTGAGGATTGGGTTCCATACATGACAATTAAACTAAGCCTCAAAATTAGCTACTTTCAAGCTTCCGTTTTCAATTTCTCTTAACCTATAAAAATAAATTTAACCAATTCAACATATATATGTACAAGCCAGTCACAAGAACTGAAATACTTATAATGAATATATGGCATAAATGATGTAATCCTTATCATGATTTTTTTCGCGATCATAATTATCATCAAATATCGTTTCTTTTATAATCTTTCGAATATCTTTCAATGTCGACTACATCAGGAAAGAAGATTGATGACTTGTGATACATTTTTGTCAGTAGCATGAAAATTAATTATTACTTTGTCAAGAAACTTTATCAGAAATTCATTTATTTTATCTGAAATATCAGGCACCTGTGGACCGGATGTGAAATCGATTTCATTACGTTCTTCCTTACTGAAATGTTATTTAATTGACTCATCACTGACATCTAAAATGAAAGAATGAATAGCGCTAGAAGATAAAAAACTTTCAATTCAGTAAACCATCTTGCATAATATAATTACAGCAGATTAATAAAGTATATAAACACTAACTGCTCATATTTTAATTTTTTCCCTAATTTGAACAATTCTTCTTTGACAAATCTTTCCATTGAGAGTTTTCACATTCTCTCTTTTTTCATGTTGTTGTATGTTTGTTCAATCATCTGTCAGTGTTCCTTTCTTAGCATGAATGGTCCAGTCTAAACGGAAATTCTCATTATTGTCTAAAAAAAACCTAAAAGCTAAAAATTCTAATGAATATTTACTTTATTTTCTTTCACCTCTTTATTGTTGGCCGTCTCCACCTTCTCTTCATTATCCGTCTCCTTTACAAGACAAATAGTAGTGAGAATAATAAATATTTACGGCTAATAACACCTGCCAGATGCAATTACCTCGTGATCTGGTGTATTCAAATCACTTGTTTCATTATTCTCAGAGTTATATGCATCAGTTTCTATCTGTGTACACATCCAAAAGGTTTAAGAAAAACAGTTTTTTCATGCTAAATGTTAATGTAAATATAATTACCTCGATTCCAGGAGATATGGAAACATCTGATGGATCAGAAGTTTGTGGTCGTTCCTGTGAATTTGAGCCATGTTGAAGGGGAGAAGCAACAACACGTAGTGGAGGAATACAGAAAATTTCATTGTCTGGCTCTCGAGTCTATTTGAAATCAAATTATTTTTAGAGTACCGCAAAATACTATTCGTCAAGTTTAATTCTTACATTAAGAATAAAATTTCCATTTCCACCATTATTTATGTTCCCATGAACAACATCATCTAAAAGTATTGATTGATGAAGATGTAACTATCTGCTTAAGCGTTCGATATCCCATTTCTTTGCCCGTTAGCGATTGGATCGAGACCCCTACGAATAAAGATTTTAAAAATTAGCAAAATTAACTACTTTTTTTATTGGATTTTTTTTTGGTTTTCATTCCATTAAGTCAGCAAAAAGCCTTGAACATTGAGTAACCTATAAGGTCACCTATGCCTTAACGGGACTAGGCTAGTCGGCTAAAAGCCCTGAACATCAAGAAACCTAAAAGGTTTTCTGTGCCTCAACACTGATCTTTAGACCAAGAAGGCTCCTTCGTCACGCCACTATTCACCTATACTGATAAGAAATCATACTTGCCTCCCTGTATTTATTAAGAAGAATCCATGCTTTTCCTTGCTTAAAACCTCGCTCACGTTTGATAATATTCTTAAGGCTTTTGACGTACGCATCTACTTTAGACTCAACGGTTCTTTACTACATTCATTTAAAAAACCTATGATATTCCATTCAGAATATTTTCAATTAAAGTAATCTTGTATATACGACATGTTTAAACTATAGTCTGAGAAATATTTTTTATGTGTTTGTGTTAGGGTTATAAATTTATAATAAATTCAGTGTTAAATCACGTTACATACGTCATAAATTTATTGGTTAGATAATCAAACTCTAACACGTGAATATGCCAGACTTTTGCTGTGCTGTTGCATATGACGAGATTCATGTAAGTAATTTTACTGCGTCTGCGTGATGATGATCAAAGATTTTCTCAGCAAAGATTAAAATGCTGATATATAATAAGAAGAGTAATATGTCTGCTTTATTTTGGATCATCTATAGAGGTGGGAAAATTGATTAACATCGTGATGACATATCTCAAAAAGCTAGCCAAGCAATAAAATCAATATACCTTATTATTGTTTTGCGGAATATAGAAGTTCGTTTGATCAAGGATATTAACGATGTAAATATTGGTAAGTTTGATAGTTTGAATATTTCGCTTGATTTTTTGTTTTACTTATACAAGGCGGATAAAAAGATTCACTAATTAGGCCTTACCTTTTTATATAATTCGCAGTGGATCTAAGATCTTTGAAAGGAATTTTCGTTAATACGACAAATCTAATTAACTCACCAAAAATGGAATATTAATTAGTGATCACATAGAAAATTTCTGTGGCAATTGAGTCGATCTGTTACCCCAATTTTCATTTTTGTTTCATTCTAGCATCATGATCAAGGACACTCGCAAATCATTAATTCATGAAAAGCTGTGAGATAAATTATTTACTAGAACTTTTGGGAAAAAAATGCATGACGATACACAGTTTATTAATAGAACATTAAAAATAGATGCACTGCGGTTAGCATTAGATCAATACAAAGGTGTAGCCAATTTTTAAATAAATGAGACAATGCCCATGATACACTGTATAATATTTTATACTAATTACTGCGGACTTTATTTTTTCGTGCAATAACCCTCTATTCTATATTCTAATATGCTTACTCAAAAGAAATTATAACACTTTTGTTTTGAAAAAATTGCACATGTGAATTTTGCGTTATACAGCCCAGGCAAAAATATCAACTGTGCATCGATTTCACATGACCAGTCTATGCTATGATCACGAATTTGAATTTATTGCTTAAAGTGAAGCAAGAAAAACAATATTCTGTTTCATTTCTATACCATTCGCCATGTAATCCATAATTCCCATGTTTTTCATCGCAAATAGGACATGGTAAGCTCCATGGCTGAGGTGATGCAAAATTATAATTATCAATCCCTCTGAAACTATTTCGAAATTTTAAGTATGTGAAATGCTCTAACATGGATTTAATAATTAATTCTGGATCAGGTTTGGCTTTGAAAGTGATAGGTTTGAAATCAGAGACTTGAGATTTTTCTGATATACATATTATAGCTTCTGATAATTGCCATGGCTCATTTCCAGTTTCTTTTTTATATCTTTTGTATAAATTGGAATGAATCTTATCTGTTAAAATGCTTGGTAACCCACTTAATTTGGTATGCCAATTCAGATACTCAGGTGTTAATTCTTTATCGGACTTGGTCATATTGCTGTTTTATATGATCGCAAATTAATTTAAATTACAGTCAATATAAATTAGCCCTGTAAAAAAATATCACAATGAAGCATAAACAAATATAGGGAGCGCCTTTGACCAAAATAACTAGACTATGCAGTTATCTCAATTTCACGCTGTTCACATTTAATAAAATAAGATCCAGCTTTATATCTACCTTCTAAACTTTCCTCCTCATCATGCTCTAATTCACATAATGGGCATATTTTCTCATTGGTAATTCTATAATAATCGAAATTTTCATTACTAAATTCTCTATATAAATTGGAATATTGATCCAATGTCTTGTTGTGAAAATAGGATCGGTCATAAGTTAGATTAATCCCAGGAATTGATGCAAGTAATACACTTGTTTGAGATGTGACTGGTGAAAGGTTATGACTTTGATCGTTACCAATGGTAACGGTTGTTAAGATCATATGACTCTGATCATTACCATTGGTAATGGTTTTATTGTTCACATAATCTATAATATTTTGAATTTGGGTATTGGTTAATCTAGAAATATCACTCACGCTATAAGTGACTAACTTAATTCTATCTATCCCAACCCCTTTTTCTCCAAATAGCATAAGAATATTTTTAGCTCTATGTGTTCAGATTCGCAAATTACCCAGAGTGACATTAGGTAAATACTGCAATATATCTTTGTATATCATCGATCTTGCTGTCTTATTTTTAGTCTTGCCATCAGCTGTAATATTTTTTATTTTTTCTTTAAACTCAAAGGAATAATGATACAAACATAAGATTTCTTTTAGACCTACTTTTATAGCCTCATCAATCCAATAAGCTAATCTCTACGTAGAGCCCTCAATTGCATTATTTAAAATGGACTCATCATGCAATTTAACTGATGATACTAAAGAAATAGGTCTAGAAAGATCACGCTTTAAAATTTGTTCTGTGACTTAATTTCTATCAAGCGGTTGTGTAGCAATTTGCCCAGATATTTCATCAAATGGGACATCCTCGCTATCAGTACAAGTGATTATTTTCATGTTGCATGATAAGTTATTCTCAATGAATGATAAAGCAAAGATATTATCGCCTATGCTAAGTGATAATTTCAAATCTTGATCATTACCATTAGTAACAGTTTTTTTGTCACGTGATAATTTCAAATCTACTGAATTGTTAATTGTTTCAGTATTGAATGATAAGTCAGAAGTAGCGTCCTGGACTTGATTTTTAGCTGACTCATGTAGAAGTTTTTTCTCCTCATTGCGTCACCTTATTTCATCTCCAATACTCTTCTTTCATACCTCATCCAAGAATTTATCCATCTCACTTTCCTCCAGCGATTTGGAGTTGGCAGATACATTAGCTTTGGTATTCATCTCTGGTATTGCACCATTTATTTCACTATAAGTTTTAGGATGCTTGAGCTGAACTACAGAATTATTAACAGCTGATACTTCTGGTGACTGTCTATCTACTGCCAAGGAACCCGTTTCACTATCGCAAGCTTAGCCTCAAGCTCAGCATTTTTCTGCTCTAATTTCTTTATCTTAATATTACGCCTCTCGTTATATTCTCCATTTGCTCTTAGAACCTCAGCATTCCTGCGCTTAAGTTCAGCTATTTCAGTATCAAATATTGAGAGCTTGATTCTAAGATCGGGGATCACAGTATTCTCCTTCTTAAGCTCTGTATTCTCAGCCTCAAGTTTAGTGATAAGCTGTTTCAATGATTCAAACTTGGATGACATGATCTATATGTATAACTAATACATTGCATATGAAAATTCAAAATAAAAAAATGTGTTTTTGGCTAGGACGCCCCGGCTGAAATTTGCTAAGAAAAATTTTTATTACTACATGTGAAAAATAAATACAAATGTTCAGGACGTAGCCCAGAATACATATTATTTTTTGATAAATTTTTTAATTCTAGCCCTCTTGCTAGCTGGGGAACTATCAACACTAATCCTATCCTTTAATAGCCCAACAATAATACTTATTACTCTTTTCATGTTGCTTCGAAGTAATTCAGGATTTTCTTTAACGGCAGACTTCAAGAGATTAATTTGATATTCACTTCCACTTGTAAAGTATATACCATCAGGAGTATATATGATAAAATACCACTCCGTACCTGTGGTCACAATACCATAGATATAGTTAAAATAGTCGTTTCCAAATGCTTGATCTGCAGTCCATTTCTTTTATTTGTCTGAAATGCACTTTCAAGTTGTGTTAAATTCTAAGAGATAAACCATCATTAATATCTCTAATATGTTAGAAAGCGAAAATGTGAATAGTAGGCCTACCTGTACATATCTAATCTTAATATTTCATGATTTCCCTTCAGTGATGCAGAGGAGGTCTTTCAGACTTTTGATTACGTAGTCTACTCAGCCAGTAGCATCTTTACCGAAAATGTCTTTCTGCAAAACTATGAATATATCTTGAGAGGTGAGTTTTTTGGCAATAGCAATTGACACATGTAATATAACTGAAATAAATTCACAGTGTGTTGCCTCGTTAGCATCGGTTATGGTCTTCACGTTTAAAAGTTTTAAAATAATATCCTCTATACAGTGTTCGAACACTTTATCATTATCACTAATCTCCTCGAAGACTACAGAGAAAAATAAGTTATTATATGTAATACTCCAATCTGAAAAATTAATAGAGTAATCACCCACCAGGATTAAACTGCTTGATGTTTGTTATATCTTCTTCATTGATCCCATTTCTACATAATATTTCTTTTAAGTCATCAAGAGTTTTAAGCAAGGAATAATTTCGTAGCTTCTGACTGAGACCTTCAATAAATTTTGCAAGTATTGTTGTAGGACTAGCCTTCAAGTCATAACTTCGAAACTCCTCTATAGTTGTGTCAAGAAAGGCAAGATCAGATATTTTCTCTTTACGAAGAATTTTAATATTATCCTCATCGAGTTTCAAGTCCTTCCTCCCTAAATAATTGATAAGCTCATCTGTATTAAAATCCTTAACCACGTCTGACATCATTCTAGTAGAAATTTCTTCCGTTATTGAGGCGGATAAAGTGGGTGAAGAAGCTTGTGAAGATATGATTTTTATATATGTGTGTTTGTGCTTGCAAAAAAATATGCACTTGATACAGGTAAAGCTGGTTTATGGATATAAAAGTATTTTTGGTTTCAGCGCTCGGGTAGAAATGATAGATTTTTTTGTATTGATTCATAATACATTTGCTCAATATATATGCAATTAATACGTAATACAGGATTATCAGGTGATTATGTTACATCATTACACGTGACATTTATCAAGTTTCATGATAGGACATAATATATGCTTTATTTCTTAAATAAAAAACATTGTCAGAATAACAGATACATAAAAATAAATTCTTGAAAAAGGTTATATAATGTGGATATAATAATTCCTAATATGGACCTAACAATTCAATACTATACTCTCTTTCATGTAATCTTTTAATCTCACTTAGCATATTACTGATAATTCTATTATTCTCTTTTAATATTTTTTGGTAGTTATTATGTAATTTATTGAATTCAGAGGTGGTTACAACTTCAACGGACATAGAGTGTTCTTCTGCTTAAAAAAAAATAAGGAATAAATTATAGTATAACAGAAGCTTGGCTTTACTCAAAAGACATATATTATCACAGTAACTCACCTTGTTTTTCTTTGAGTTCTTCTACTAACTCCATAATATCAGTTGCGTTCCCAAACTTAATTTTGAATAGACCATTTTCATTAGTAAGCATTTGTATGGTTAATCTGAAAAAAGCTTTTCTACCGATATTCTGTTTTTCGATTTTTTCAATGTCATCTTCATTATAACTTGAATTATTCATATGTCTCTTGAGATGTTTTTTAAAGTGAGCTGGAGTCCAATATTTAACATTAGGAAGTTTGTCAGACATCATTAAAAAGACCCATTTTTTAAATAGCATATATTATACTTATATATAAAATTATAAATGCAACATCAATCATGAAAAATACAATGTAAACTCAATGCAAAATCAGAGATCTTACCTTTTGGGATTAGCAATTGCAGTCTGGGGGATTTCCAAAAAAAGATTTCGTGTAACCAAACATTGATTGAAGAAATCGATTGTTCGAAAATTTTTTGATTGGTTCTTCAAAGCTATAGATTCGTAGATGAAGGTTTCTAGAAAAACTATATGTTAGCTTATCAGTAATTGTTGGAATAAACGCGTTCAAGTGTGCTTTTTCATAATCCATTGACCTTTATTCATAATCCACAAAATTGACCGAAGTATACTTTACCTCAAATTTGGATTTTATGAGCTTTTTTTTATCCAATTGTCTAAGAACTGTAACTGACTCTTGCTTATTTTTTGACCCTTAGTGAATGCAAAAAAAAACCACAGGCTAATACCTTACCATGCTTGTTTGCTACGCTTGCTGAAAAGTATTCGAATTCAAGCAAGTTAGTATTATGTGAAACTAAACAGGGCCAACGATGGCGACATGTATCAGGAAAGGCAGTTGAACGAATAGGTCTTTTCGCTAAGTATTTTCCAGAATTGGTATTGTTAAGCGAACATTTGGAGCATTATTCTTTCTGTGAACGACATTATAATCAAATAATTGCTACTAATAATCTTCTTGAGCATTTAAAAGCAGTAGATGTGCCGATTGTCTCCTCTATCAATGTAAATCAACGTAAACGATCGTGGAATGCTATTGATGATGATGTATCTCAACCGCCGATGATTGATGATAATGCATCTCAATCAATGGTTAATCAGAATAAAAAAGCTGCTAGTGAAACTGGAATTCAAGTTAAAGCTGTTAGTGAAATTGGAATTCAAGTTTCTTTACCG